GAATTCTTAGTCTTCCTAACTTGAGGAACCCCCAATTTGAGGCTTTACAAATGTAAAAGTTAGACCAATTGGTTATCCATTGGTTACCGATTGGTTATCCATTTTCTAAATGGATAATATGGTTCTTATCCATATTTGACCTGTTTTTAAAAGTTCATTATCCAACCAATTTTTTAGTGGATAATATGGGTGATTAACTGTTTTCTTTTAACCATTTTGCCACCACTAATCATGAGCTAGGGGAACCAAGCTGATAGAAAGCTGCAGTTGAAATTTTGACATGTTTCTCTTTCACCAACCTGTTAAAAAAGTTAAGAAAATTCACAGATTTGCATGTTTCACATGACTTCAGGATGAGTGCATGGGATGGACAAATGAGAAGCATAATACATTTCTTGATTGTCTTGAAGCATCATTTGTTGAGCAGTTGCACAGATCAACAGTCTTGCGTGCTGGTCGTGTGGAGCTGAACAGGAGTTGCAGAAATTTGTCTCAAAAGCTGTCTGCTCCCAGTGATAAAGCTTCTAAGCAGGTCAGAAAATCAACAATAGTTACAATTCTCTGTTTCTGGAGCTATAAGATATACTATCATTTAGCTGCTATGCTTGAAGAACCTGAACCTCGCTCCACCTTATACCCACTCCACAACTCCCCCCAAAAAAATCTTGCTTGAGAGTTTCTTTTTTCTCTTCCAGTTTACTGCTCGGCGAGATGGGTGTTGGAAGATCAATATTGAGAGCGACCAACCTGAGCTGTTTGTCAGGAAGGGTGATGAGTACCATCACGTTACGGACGTCCAATTATGTCCTAGACTCCCTACTGAGGAAAATCAAAGAAGAGATAAGAGGACTTCATCTCATGTACGTAGAGAAAGATCAGACCTGCTCTTTCCCATCCCTGCAGAACTTCAGAAACCAGTTAGCAGAATTGCTGGTAAGCACTTATAACATCTATGTGCAGATTCTTCTTACTTCAGGAGTTAAGGGTTTTAGTTGTTTTAGCATATTGTTTATGCCAAACTAGTGTAATATTTTCCTCCTGTTGTACTTCTCTCTCAGTTTTGCTTCTTCTGTACCACAGGTATTTTAGTGGAATTAAAGCATATATGAGCATTCATGCAGGCATTATTTAGGGTGGTTTTGCATTCATTTAGTGATCATTAACATCTAACCTGGTTCCTTGTATGCTCACGTAAGGCAACTGCATTAGTCGTGTGATATACTGTTCCTTTGATAAGTACATATTTTGTCTGCATGTGGTCAAGATTGGTGGAGTTGGAACATGCATTGACCTGCTACTTAAATACTTGAATCAAACACGTTTGGTTTTACAAGTTATTTAATCAGTGTGATAATCAGTTTGTTAAGATGACTCTGGCAGGGGACATTTTCCTTTAGGATTACAACTAACTAGTTCCATTTACGTTTAAGTTCAGCTTTCCAATTGGTATTTCTTACTTAGAGGAGTTTGAGGAACGGTGCCTCAGTGGATGGATAAATATATCACAGATGCTTTGGCTGCCTTAGTATCGTTTCTCCATGTTTCAGTGGATGTTGCTGATTTTTGTCTTGTTTTTTCTTGGAAGCTTTGGAGCATTTTTTGCTTGAACTTGGTCAAATCTTGAAATGTGGAGGTTTCACAACTGCAAAAACCTTCTAAGTTGCCCTTTGCCTTGTCTGGTTAAGGACTAACAAAGGACCTATTTAAGTTTGACATTTGCTTATTGTTGATTTAGTTTGATCCTTGTAGTAATGCCCCGTGTTTCTTTCAACCTTGTGAAAGGTTAGGATGAGTAAATTTATTCGGAAACATGGATTAATGAAGGAAAAAAGGATCGGTGTATAAACACTTTGAAAAGAAAGGGGCTACTAACTCGCAGTTGAGTCCTCATAACTGCATGGAATAACTGTTTAAAGTATATCTGTTCAAGTTCTGCAGTTACTCTCCATATTCTGCTGTCCTTTTGCAGACACCAGTTCTATTACCATTTCGATTAGGATAGAACTTGGAAAATATCAGCTGTCTTGGAGCCAGTGTTAATTGTTTGTATTGTTTCTTTTTCTTTTATGTTCCTTCTTTGGGTAATGCAAGGCATGTTTGGAGAAATAACCAGCAAATCTGATGGTAAGAAGCAAATGGCTCAAATATGGAATTTATAGCTGTCGGTCTCAGCTATATTACTTCTTCAAATACTTCTCTTAGGTTTTTCTTTTCTGGGTGCAGCATTGCTCGTATTACATATATATATACACACAGACACACATATATGTGTGTGTGTGTGTGTGTATATATATATATATATGTGTGTGTGTGTGTGTGTGTGTGTGTGTGTGTGTGTGTATAGGTGGTTGGTGGTGGTGAGTGTGTTTCTTTCTTGGGGGAGGATAGTAGAGTTCTAAAAACTTGTTTAAAGCTTGATTCCCTGGGTTCAGGAAATCCAGGGTAATGATATGCTTATAGCTCATGTGAATTATACTTCTGTTAGTTTCTTTGACACTGAAATTTTTAAATAATTTGCAGAAGGTTCAGGTCAGAATTTTGTGGATGAAGATTTCGAAGAGAACTCGAAGAGCAAAAAACTGAAGACAGCTATGATGGATACTGCAGATGATGAGCAAGTAATGTGCATCAACTGTTTCTTATTACGTCCATAACTTAAGTAATGGTTTTTAAGGTCCAAATTCTAATCAATGAACGTGTACTTTTAGATTGTCCCAAAGGAACAGCCAACTCCATGTTCCAGCAAAAGAAAGAAGTAAATCTTGAGTGTTAGTAAAAGAACCACGACTTCGTCTGTCCCCAATGTGATGCGAAGTCCCCTTATTCACAGCAGCTGAGGCGCAGTGTAATATCCGAGAACACTGCTTTACAAGCACAAGCTTCTTGCCATCAAGCTGGTCCGTGTTTGAAGAAATGACATTTGACAAGTTTGGAGGTACTAACTACTAAAGATGAGTTTTGTTTTGCTGTAGAAAAACGGGCCATTTTTTAAGCTAATAGTTACTAGTAAAGGCATTATGTAGCTTGCATCTGGATAGAGTTTCTTCATTCCATTAAATTTGTAAATGAGATATGTTTAGACTAGTTAGAGAGAGAAATTAAGTTTGAGAATCACTAATGTTGTGTTTTACGTTATACAAAGTTCTTTTATTTTCGACAATGAATTGAATGAATGAATTGCCCGGTGCACAAAGCATCCCGCATTCACATAGGGTCTAGGGAAGAGGCACACTTAAAAGGGATGTGATTATGAAACCTTGGCCGATGTATCTGGCGGCTCGTATTGTTTGGTGACCATAATTTATGAATTCAGTTATCATAGGGAGCATATTTAGAATATCTATAAAAAAGATTTTATGCTTGTTTCTTTCTCTTGTTTGAGACAAGTCGTGAATCTAGAATATTGTAGTCTTTTACAGTGAAAGAAGTTAGGACGAAGTTGTCAATAATAGACTTCCACTTGACACCTATCGTAACGATAAACGGCTCGTCTCGCCGTGACCTTCTCTTGAATTCTCAAAAAAACTTCTGTCGCTCCATCCCCGCAGGGGCAGAGAACCCGTCGTTGTCTCGGCCGTGCTACCGGAGGCTCTGGGGAAGTCGGAATAGGAGAGCACTCATCTTGGGGTGGGCTTACTGTTCTTGCGGTTCTTATAGATCTAATTCATTGAAATTCCATCCAATAAAACGGAAGAATTATAAATGTCCAAAATAATAGATAGAAATACCGCAAATAAGGCCATTGCGACACCCATCAAAGGAGTAGTTCCCCATCCAGGAGCTACTTTGCCATATTCCGAATTCAATGATTTTAATAAATCTCCTACCGCAGTTCGTCTTGGACCAGATCTAGAACTGTTTTCAACAGTTTGTGTAGCCATAAATCCTATTGTATTCATTGAGATCAGTTGACTTTGTATACCATTCCGTTGTAAAGTAGACCGTCTACCTTAATGCAAGCATTAGTGGCTGCTTCCACGACTCGAACCATGACCTATAGGTGACATAAAGACAATTTGTTCCAAGGCTCCCGTTATTTTCGACAATAGAATCATCAATTTAGTTGTATTGTTTCTTTTACACTTATTAAGATTAACTACAGTAAATGTAGATAATTCTCTGTACGCGGAAAGAAAACTTTCTTTTCTTCTTTCCCGTCTTTGTTCTTCCTTTACAGAATTAAATCATTTGACATGAAATGAAATTGAGGAAAGAAAATAAAAAGGAGTGAAAAAGAGTTGTTAAAAACAATATGGTGATTTTAGGGATGTGGAAAAGGGTGGGTGGAATAATCACAACCATTTCTGTACCTACTTCAAAAACTAATCTCTTGCTGGTGGTTGTAGTGTTATAGAATATTGTTGAACATCATTAGTAGGAGGAACAAAGTACAGTTGCTCAACCAACTTTTCCAGATCAGAAGTTGTGAGTTGCTGTTGAGTTCATATTTAAGTTGAATTAGGTTTTAGTGATATTTGCTAAATTGTGATTGATCCAACTAGATAACAGAAATATTAATCACATATCTTGACCATTGGTTGTCTATTGCTCATTTTCTATGACCACTACAATATTTTAGGCCTTTAACCACCCCAGAAAAGTGTGGCCAAAACTGTCAAAAGTGTAGCCTTTGATAAAAGGCCACGCTTTTGAACCTAAGGCAACGCTTTTTAGGGGGTGGCCTATACAAACGTAACCTTAGCTCTAAGGCAACACTTTCCAGTGACCAAAGGCCGCGCTTTGTGCACACCCCTTATGGCAACTCTTTTCCACCTTATAGCCACACTTTTGAAGTGTGGCCTTTGTTACCTAGAGCAACTCTTGTAAGACGTTGCCTTTCTAACTTTACACGCCACACCTTTGCTAGCATCCTATGGCCACACTTTTCAAGAGTGGCCATTCTGTCAAGAATGTAAAACATATATTACGAACATATAGAAATTTATTAAATATTTTCAGGTAATTGCTTAAGTATGAAGATCTCTCAAACTAATAAATAATAAATAAGAAAAAAATTCAAATATATTGGAATGAACCTCGAAAAACAAATATTTTGTGTACTGCATGAACTAACAAAGCCAAATACTTCAAGGTGCATTCTAGCAATATGGTTTACAAAACTGAACATATTCATTTAGTATCATGGCTAATAAACATCACAATTGTCCAATTGTCTTGATCAATAACTTCAAACATAAGAAATTGACTTCTCGCCACCATTTTCAGATCATCGCCAAAAAGTTCCTACATATATTCAAAGTGAACCTAAATATTAGATAGAAACCAATAGCATGCTAGTTCACTCAATTGATGAAATCTCGCCTATATTTTTTTTATAAAAATTGAATGATAATGAAAATCATCAACTAGCTTGCTAACAGAAGGAAAAAAATAGCAAAATCGCAGTTAAAATTAGTGGGTTAATCCACTGAGACATGAACAGTAACCTAATCCAACATGGAAATAAGATATTCTAGTTATTTTCTTAAAAGACATAGCACTATAGATATAAACTCAAGCACAAAAAGAAATAAAAATGAGAATAGTAAGAAAAGATCACACTTCATATTAAAGGTATTCATAAGAAAACCTTGGTACAAAGCAATGTCTCAAAGATGTTAATTTAATCACAAATGTACAACATTTTGTAACCAACACTTTGCATCAGACTATAGTGAGACGCGTGCACTTAGTTTTCAATGATAATAGTAAAAGATAAGCTTCGAAAAGATGCAATAAGTATGAAGTAGTAAGAAACAATGTAATTCGGTAAGATAATGGTACAACACCTGACAAGTAGCCTGACCAATGCTGAAGCATATGATCCAAAAACTTCTCATTTACTACAGTAACAACTTATATAGTCAATCTTCTTGTTCACTTTTATGTGGAACTGGAAAGAACTCAGTGCAAGATCATAATATTGATGCATCAATGTGTATTCCAACAACATAAAAAAGCAAGTAGAGAAATAACTTTTGATATTCTTAGATACATTATTTCAAATACTCGCTTTTCAATATATTGCAAGATTATCATGCATTGACTGCAAAAGAAAGCAGCATTGGGAATTCAAATTTGAAAAACTAGATCTGTTTAATTTCTTCTGTACGAAATGCATATGATATGATTCTAGAATAATTTGAATTGATTTACTTTAGGCAGCTTAACTAATAATGTCTTACCTAAGTTTCTAAACAACAAAAGTCTGTTGCTTTAAGTGAATAAAAAAGTGTCAGATTTGTCCGAATACATGTGTCAATCTCACTCCTTCCCTGGAAACAAAAGGAAGAATACATATCATCAAGATTATATCAATTTTTTTTTTTTGAAGTTGCTCCTAATAAGACATAAAGATCTAGTAAGAAGATATGTGATATAATAAATAATCAAAGATAGTTTACTATCTTACCAATCTGGATTCAGTGCATATGATGGTTCAGACCCAATATAAATAGTAAGAGATGTGCACATCTCATTCAACTCTACTGTCAGATTATCAAAAAACAACCAACTATAAAGAACTACTTCAATAAACAAAATGTAGTCACCTCTGTATATTTTCTAAGGCGCATCAATTTCAAAGATAGCGAACTATCTTTTAAAGATATATTAGGTACTCAAGGGAGGAACTGAAAAGAAATAGAGATATGAATAAATTACAGAGAAAGAGAACTTTTGATCCAGAAAGATATCCAAAATTAATAAAATGAAGCTAGAGTTCATTGTTGAGATATAAAATAAGAACACAACCCCTAGATATTCTAAACATGTATATGATGCACGTGATGCTTCTATTTACTAGACTAGAGATGTACTTTAAAAATACCAAGTGAATCTGGCGGGCATTTGGACAACTTGATTCTTTAACAATATTATTTATGAGCGAATAGAAAAACTGGCATTATTGTCACTAAATCTGAAAATCCCAAACCTGAACCAGCTACATAAAGACGTTGCTTTTCAAATTTGAACCTTAGCAATAGATATTCTAATACGCGATCTAGACTAATAAAAGTTTTAGAATAACTAATGAAGCAGCAACTGTTGGTTTAATGTATAATGATATTGTCCTGCCCCTCACTCAATCCTTAAATGCTATAAGAGTTCCTTTTAATTCCTTGTCAATAAGAATTCAGTTAACGAATTATCTAAATTAAGATAATTTTATAGAGATAAGTTATCTGTTAAATTGCAGGTCTGTTACGTATAGGAATTCAGTTAACCAATGAAAACTTAAGCCTCAACACTAAACTACCATTTCTCTTTCTCGTTTTCACATTTTCTAAGATTTTGACTAAAAGCATATTACTAACACCAGTAAAAAAATTCTTTATTCATCGAGTAGTTGAACATAATACATATCTAAAGCCTGAATGATTTATTGCACGTCTCTAACCAACAGAGTCATCATAGATGATATTTTCCCCAATTCTCCACATCAAATTAAAGAGAAATTTTAGAGTCTATCCATCGCTGGAACAAAATGGAGCTAGTTAAACATGATAAAACACAACAGGTCTTTGACCAAAATTTCAAATTGAACAACTGAAATTAACTAGAAGACCTTCATTTTTATAGATCCATACAACAACAATAACAAAAACTCCAGTGTAATCCCACAAATAGAGGTCCAGAGAGGATAGTGTATGCATCCTTATAAAAAGAAGTTCCAAATTTTATAAATTAGCATTCTCTTTCTATCAAGAAATAAATTTTTTTTCTTTCTTTGCTTTTGAACATTGTTGGCATAGCTTATAGTATCATATAATGCATACATAAATAGGCAAAAATTGACCTGATGTTGAAAAACCTACTATACGTGAACAGAGACAAAAAGGCTAGGGAGTGATTTCATACGTGCCTAAGATTAAAGGCTCAAAAAAGTAAAAAAATCACAGAAATAACTCATTTGAAGCAAAGCAAAACATGGCTAGGAAGAACTCACCCTCACCGCAGCTTACTGAATAGCAAACTTGAATGCTTGATTTGTGCGCTTCGGTTTTAAGCCCTAACTCTTTGATGGAGCCCTAACTCTAATAATTTTATCAACGAGCCATCATTAATTAATAGGTTAATTTGGGTCTGTCAATAATAACGTGCAACCACATTTCAAATAATGGTAGTAAGCCCTAACCCTTCAAGTGAGAAATTTGCTAATAGATCATTTTGGGATTCCTACGGACGTATGTTTTACAAAACTGCTATGGGTGGAATTCTTATTTTTTAAGTTTTAAGAGGGAAATCAAAAGGTTGAGCAAAAAATGCTGCTATGGGTGGGAAAGGTTTTTTTCTCAACTATGGTCTATGGGTGGGAAAGTTTAAGAGGGAAAAATTTGGGTGAATATTTTAGGAATACAAAGGACAATACTTGTAAAGCGTACTAGTATATGTCAGTAAGTGTTCCCCTATGTCCTATGATTTGGCAACGCTTAAGCGGTGTGCCCTTTCTATTAAAAGAGAGTTGCTTAGTAACCGTTGCCAAAAGCCCGTAATAAAGGCCACACAGATAAAAGCGTGCCCATAGATACCTTTAGCAACGCTTTCAGGCGTTGTTTAAAATAAATGTGGCCTAAGGCCGAATTTGTTGTAGTGGACAGAAATATTCGAGCCAACTTACACACACAAATATCGAAAATTCTGCCCACAAAGTCTATCATTTCTGACTCTTTTGCTTCATTCCTTGTCTTATCTTTTGAATTACTTCTTCTTTAGGGGGTCTTGGCTTTAAATTGGGTTGAAAAAAAGATCTTAGTTAAATTAATTTGAAAGAAAATTAAATAAATTTCAATCTTAGTAGATATTGACAGCCGCATTATAATGTCCAGGGGATAACTTTTCGGAAATAAACAAGAAAAATGATTAGTGATACTTCTAAATGAGACTGAGGAAATTTTTTAGCGGAAATTGTTCTTATTTTTACTAGTTTACCGTTACATTTTTTAACTTTGGTATCTTAATTATTGTTTACAATTAAATATTGTTTTAACTAAACAAATTTGGTCCAAAATAACTGTCGTTTCAGAAAATCAAGAATATATATAAACTTTAAAAAGTATTTTATCATTCTTACTAATTATGAAAATAAATAAAGGATAATTAAATCAAAAAAATATTATGATTAATGCTATATAGAAAAAATTCTCATAATTAGTGCAATTAAATAATTTGCTTGAATTATTTGTCAAAGCTACGTCATAATTCCTGCGTAATTTATTTGTGAACCAAACGACCCGGCAATGCATATAATGAATAACAATTGGAAAAACGAAACGGAAACGACAAAATGTCAACTGAGACACCAACGTACGGCAAAAACAAAAAACAAAACAAAACGAAGAAAAAAAATCTAAGACACCAATGGTGGCGTAGACCTACAGTGTTTGCGGATTGACCAACAAACTTCCCTTCCCAATTCATATTTCTGTCTTTGCTTGACTTTCACTCCTAAATCCCTTTTCCACAACTCAAACCCCCCCCCCCCCCACCCCACCCCCCCAACTGTCCCACCAAATGAAGAATTCCAAAACCCTCTGAAGAAGAAAAAGATCACATCTTTAGCTTCATTACTTCCGGAAAAAGAACAATTTTTTTACAAAAATTTGAGTTTTTAATGGCAACAGTTATTCCAATTCAAAGATTGCCAAGATGTGAAGGTGTTGGGTCATCATCACCTACAAACGCACCCCAAAAGAAATGGTCCAATTGGCTACCTCTAGTATTTGCACTTGTGGTTATAGTTGAAATTGCATTTCTGGGTCGACTGGACATGGCTGAAAAAGCCAACCTAGTCAACTCTTGGACTGACTCATTTTACCAGTTTACGACGTCGTCTTGGTCAACCTCCAAAGTGGAAATTAATGAGGCTGGATTGGGTGTGTTGAGGAGTAGTGAGGTTGATCGGAATTTGGAAACTGGGAGCTGTGAGGAGTGGTTGGAAAAGGAGGATTCTGTGGAGTATTCTAGAGATTTTGACAAAGATCCAATTTTTGTTCATGGCGGCGAAAAGGTGATATTGTCTTCTTGTATATGTTTATTCTTTTTACTAATGAATGGACTGAATAGAGCAGAATAAATATAGAGGATTCATATAGTTGAACCCGAATAGTTTGGGAGGCATAGTTGATTGATCTTTTTATTATGCATTAGCTGATTTGATTTGAAGCAGCTGATAAGCATTAGGTGTTGAAAAACACTTTTAAGTGCTGAAACTGATTTAATAAATAAGCACTTACGTGAAATTGATAATAAGTTGCTGCAGTATTTGATAAAAAAGTGCTGATGAGCTCTTTTTCTGTTAACATGACTTAAATAACCTTAGAACTGTTTACATTTATAAGGGCGTAATTTTTTCAAAATTTTAGATTCCTGATCGATTCAAATACAAAATATTCTATTTGTCATTTTATTTTAAATACACCTGTGCTTAGATAAGATAATTTTATGATAAACATAATTTATTTTATGATAAGCATATAATCATAAATTATAATAGTTAATAAATTGACAAAAGTTTATCAGTAAAAAATAAACCTAAATAGGACAAAATATTTGAAGGGAAACTGTTAGAGTTTTTGTAAGTTCTACTGTAACTTTTGCAAAAAGAGGAAATAAAGGCTAGAAGAAGAGATAATATGTGCTGCTAGAAAAGTTAATATTCAGAACTGAAAATGGTGCTTAAATACAAAAAAAACTGAACAACTAGATCCTAGAATTAAGCAACTACTTAGCACATGATTCCATGATCAACACATGATTCCATGATCAACAAGCTCCTAAAAATCAGCAACTAAGTTAAGAACACTAAAATGTAAAACACGTGAGGAAAAACATTCTGCAGTTGTTTGACCTAATACTGAGGCAATTGTTCAACAGTCCTCCTTGCTTCAGTTGCTGCAAATTCCAAGCCTCTCTGTGAGAAATTCAAATTTGCTCCTTGGCAAAGCTTTTGTAAACATATCTACTAGTTGAAGATCAGTCTTGCAATACTTTAATCCAACAGATCCTTCCTTCTGCAGGTCTCTGAGAAAGAATAATTTAATATTGAAATGCTTGGTTTTCCCATGAAAAACAGGATTATTTGAGATAGCAATAGCTTCTTGATTATCCACAAACACCTCTGTGCACTGTTCTTGCTTCAAATTCAGATCAAGCAACAGTTTTCTAAGCCATAAGGCTTGATTTGCAGCAGCTGTTGCTGCAATGAACTCAGCTTCAGCGGTAGATTGTGCAACAATTTATTGTTTTTTGGAACACCAAGAAAATACCCCAGAACCAAGATTAAAACAATGACCGGAAGTGCTCTTCATATCATCAGAAGAACCAGCCCAATCACTGTCCGAATACCCCTGCAATACGTACTTCTGATTTGCATAGAACTTGATTCCAAAAATTAGTGTTCCTTTAACATATTTCATCACTCTTTTAGCTGCTCTAAAATGAGTGTCAGTTGCACAATTAGTGAATCTAGATAGAAGACTTACAGCATATAAAATATCAGGTCTAGTTGCTGTAAGATACATGAGACAACCAACCATACTTCTGTAAAGAGTCTCATCCACTTTTTCAGCTTCATCATTTTTGCTCAACTTCTCCTTGTGACACATTGGAGTAGCTGTTTCTTTGCAATTTCCATTCTGAACTTTTTCAAAATCTCTCCTGCATACTTCTTTTGACAGATGAACACTTCATTTCCCTTTTGCTTGATTTCCATTCCCAGAAAATAGACCATTTCTCCCAAGTCCGTCATCTCGAAAGTATGATGCATATCTTCTTTGAACTTCTTAACAAGTTCGTCATTGCTTCCCGTAACCACAAGGTCATCTACATATAGTGAAACAACAATAAAATTGATTTCACCACCTTTAATGTAGAGAGTAGCTTCACTGGGGCTTTTTCTAAAACCCAGCTGCAACAAATGCTCATCAATTCTGCTGTACCAAGCTCTGGGCGCCTGCTTTAGTCCATACAAAGCTTTCCTGAGCTGGTGCACTTCATCTTCATGCCCTTTGACTACGAATCCTTCAGGCTGCTCAACATAAATTTCTTCCTCCCTCAAGAAAGCCATTCAAGAATGCAGATTTAACGTCTAGCTGAAACACTTTCCAACCCTTCTGTGCAGCTATAGCCAACAATAATCTGATGGTTTCTAATCTGGCAACAGGAGCAAATGTGTCAGAAAAATCAATACCAAAGACTTGAGCATACCTGATACCCCTTCACAACAAATCTGGCTTTGTGCTTGTTGATAGAGCCATCTGCATTATGCTTGGTTCTGAAAACCCATCTTACTCCTATGACTTTTCTGTCTTTAGGTCTTTTCACAAGTTTCCATGTATGATTTTTCTCAATCATGCTGAGTTCATCCTTCATTGCAGCTCTCCATTTTGGATCTTTTTCTGCTTCCAAAATATCAGCTAGCTCAAGAACAGCCACATTGCATCTCTGGTAGATATCAGAAAGAGATCTAGTGCCTCTTACTGGAACATGATCCACCAATTCATCTTCTTTCAGTTGAAGCTTTGTACTTCTATTTGGAATTGATACTGGTTGTGCTTCGTTCCAGTTCCATTGTCCATCCTCCATAAAATGCACATCTCTACTTATCAGAATTTTTCTTGTATGAGGTTTGAAAACTCTGTAAGCTTTGGAAATAGTGCTATAACCCATAAAGATGCTTGGGATTGCCTTCTTATCAAGTTTGTCACGCTTAACCCGAGGAACATAAGCAAAGCACACACAACTAAACACTTTAAGAAAACTTAGTGAAGGTTTAAACCCATACCAAGCTTCAAATGGTGTTTTATTTTCCAAAGCCTTCATTGAAAGTCGATTTTGCAGAAAAACTGCAGTATTCGCTGCCTCTGCCCAAAAGATTTTGGGCAGTTCCTTCTCATGCAACATACATCTGGCCATTTCCATTATCGATCTGTTTCTTCTTTCACTAGCTCCATTTTGTTCCGGAGTGTATGGTGTTGTAAGCTGATGCACAATACCAGCTTCCTTGCAGAATGAATTAAATTCTGTTGAGGTGTATTACTTTCCATCATCAGACCTCAAAGCTTGGATCTTGCAGCCACTTTGATTTTCCACCAAATTCTTGAATTTCCAGAATACACCAGCAGCTTCTGACTTGAATTTCAAGAAGAAAATCCAGCACATTCTTGAAAAATCATCTATAAAAAGAACGTAATAGAGGCTACCTTGTAATGATGGAGTTCTTTGCGGTCCTGCAACATCAGTGTGTACTAGCTGCAACTTTTGTGAGGCTTTCCAAGTTGATTTAGGAAATGGCTTTATGTGTTGTTTACCAAATTGGCAGGCACGACATTCTGTAGAGTTCACTTCCAGGTCGGGTAGGTTCTCCACCATCTTCAGTTTTTGCATTTTGACAAGTCCTTGATAGTGATAGTGCCCGAGTCTCTTATGCCATAACTCAGCAACATTTTCTTTTGCTGTATACACCATTTGCTCTTCCTCAAAAGGATCTAATGAGAAACTTCTGCCTCTCATTTTGACTTTAAAGAAGTCGTGCCCTGAAAGATCTTTGATCAAGTAATAATTATCTTCGAAATACAATTTGAAACAGTTGACCAAGACTTAACAAGTTTTGGTCTAAATCAGGTACATAAAGAACATCAGATATTGTTTTAGTACCTGATTGTGTCTCAACCGCAATGGTTCCTATTCCTTTTGCTGGAATATGGCTTCCATTGCCAATTCTAACCTTTTTAACTCGAGTAGGCTTCAATTCCTTGAAGAGTTCTTTATCGGAAGTCATGTGATTTGTGCGTGCATCCGCTATCGATCAGCCGAGACTCGCTTGAAACATTGCTTGCAAAACACGATGCAACAAATAGTTGATCTTCCTCTTCTTGATCTTCAGCTACTTGTGCAACACTTTTCTGCTCAGTATTGTTCTTGCAAATCTTTTGATGATGTCCCATCTGCTGACATTTCTCGCACTGTTGATCTGGTCTTCTCCAACATCTGAACGGTGGATGACCTTTCTTTCCACAATGCTTGCAAGGAGGAAAATCATATTTTGTTCTCCGATTATTTCTAGGAGAATCAGCACTTGAGTTTTCCTTCTTGTTCAGGTTGTGCTTCTTTTTCTTTCCCTTTTATCCCTGACTTGACTGAACTTTTGCAGGTAGTGCACCCTCGACAGACCCTTCAGACCTCATAAGCCTTCTCTGTTCTTGTGCCTGCAAAGCGTTCAATAATTCTGCCAAACTAATTTTTGACAGATCCTTAGTATTTTCCAGCGAGGAAATGGTTGCTTCAAACCTTTCAGGGACTGTTACAAGAATTTTTTGAACCAATCTAGAATCAGAAAATTCAGAGCCAAGTAATCTTACTTTGTTGGCAATGTTGAGTAATCTGTCAGAATAGTCTTTAACTGTATTTGAATCCTTCATCTTTTGAACTTCAAATTCTCTGATAAGGTTGAGAATACGCATTCCCTTGATCCTTTCATCTCCTTCATATTCTTTCTTCAGGGAACTCCAGACCTCAAACGCTGATTTCATTGTCATAATCCTGACAAAGATTTCTGGTGAGACTGCAGCAAATAACATAGCTCTAGCCTTTGACTTTCTTGTTTTCTTCTCCTTGTGATTCTTCATCTGCGCCATAGTTGGATTTGCAGGCAAGGAAGGAACGTCGTAGTCCTCCTCGACAGCTTCCCAGAGATCATTTGCCTCTAGATGTGCCTCCATCCTTGCTGCCCAGACATGGTAGCCTTCGTCATTGAAGACGGGTGGTGCAAGTGCAGTGAAAGGGGTTTCTGAATCCATAGAAGAAGAAAGAAAAATATGTGTTTTCCCTTAATTACAGGTCCCTCAAGAAGAGAGCTCGAATACCAATTTGTTAGAGTTTTTGTAAGTTCTACTGTAACTTTTGCAAAAAGAGGAAATAAAGGCTAGAAGAAGAGATAATATTTGCTGCTAGAAAAGTTAATATTCAGAACTGAAAATGGTGCTTAAAAACAGAAAAAACTGAACAACTAGATCCTAGAATTAAGCAACTACTTAGCACATGATTCCATGCAGGGGTGGACGCAGTATTTTTCGTAAGCGGTGTCGCATTTAATGAAGTGAACAAATAGATAAATTACTGTCACAATACACATAAAAATAATACAAATTAGAATCTTATTAAAAAAATGCATTAAAGTATAATACTACAACCCTCCTCGACAAGTTTTTATTTTTTGAAATGTATTCAGAATATTCTTGCTAGACATAATAGTAAATACTACCTTTTCTATATATAACACTAAACTCTTTCATTATTTGACTTTACAATTTGGGTTCAGACCAACTCCATCTTCCCCCAAGAAAAAGATAGAAAGAAAAAAATAGTAAGAAAACTTACCATGGAACATACTTGGAGGAAAAACAAGTTTTTTAGTAGAAAACGCTGAAAATCTTACTCAGCATGAAGCTGCTCAAGTTCGAACCCAGGACCTCTCCTAAAAAAAAAGAAGCACCTGACCAGCAGAGCTAACGAGAAGTATATGTAAAGTTGCGTCCTTTTTATTTATTTAATAATATATTTTTTGTACATATTAATAATTTACACATGTTTAGTGAATTTTTCCGGCGAAGCGGTGTCGGATGACACCGCTTACACCAAGGTGCATCCGCCCCTGATTCCATGATCAACACATGATTCCATGATCAACAAACTCCTAAAAATCAGCAACTAAGTTAAGAACACTAAAATGTAAAACACGTGAGGAAAAACATTCAGCAGTTGTTTGACTTAATCTTGCAGTAACTGAGGCAATTGTTCAACAGAAACAAACACTAGCTTCACCATCAAAACACATGGAAAGCAATACACCAAAAATTTGATATGTACTCATTTATTACATACAGTTCAAAGATTAATACACAATCACATAAATACAAATATGCAAAGGAATAGATAATTTGCTTATCTCAAATAGTCCATGAGAATTACAGACGGGGGGGTAGAGGGGGGGGGGGGGGGTTAGGTGTAAAAAAATACGTTAGAGGTCAAGTGAGGTATCGATGTAAGAGTTTTTTTCTAAAAAGGATATTGTAAGGATAAAATAGTAAAAATCTTGGTCAAACTTAAAGTGCTTATAAGCTAAAAATTCATAAGTTGGGGGTGACCAGCTTATGACTTTTGGCTTATTTTTGACTTATAAGCACTTTTAATTTTACCAAACGCGTAGATAAGCAAAAAAGTTCTTATAAGCTAGTTTGACGATAATATCGATTTTGTAGTAGCAGCTAATTCTCCATAGAAACATTAATCGGTAATCGAGCATCTCTTTTAGACGATAATATCGATTTTGTTGTAATTTATGTCTTGCTATTTATTACATCAGTTAGCTGCCAGAGCTCGTGTGTGTGTGTGTTTGTTGCAGACTTATGGCTTTGGTAGATGGAATGATAAAAATTTGTTGTTTCAAATGATGCTTTGACATCATCTTCTAGTTTTTTTGTTCTTTTATTATGTTTACGGTAAAACATATTATAAAGTACAGACTATTGACCATATTCCAAAACCTCTTTATATGGGTAAGAATACTCATGAATTTTGTATACTAGTAGGGAATAAGTGGAGGAGCCTTGAGTATCTTCTCTTCTCTTACCTTTTTTTCCTTCATTACATTGAATTCTTTCGTAGAGCACTTAAGTGGAATGAGCAGAAATCAATCAGTAAAACTGCCATTTATTGCTTAAGTTTATCATGACTAGTTCTTGTTCCCATGTTATCCACTGGTATGTAGGTGAGAGCAGGTAACAGTACCTGGTTACCATCTTTCTTCTTGATTTTTTATCCTTACCATATGCGAAAACTGATGTTCCTTCAATCATTATTTAGGATTGGAAGTCTTGTGCCGTAGGATGTAACTTTGGCGTGGATTCTGATAAGAAGCCTGATGCGGCATTTGGGACACCACAACAGGCTGGCACGGCTAGCGTGCTTCGGTCAATGGAGTCTGCTCAATACTATCCTGAGAACAACATCGTTACCGCACGACGGTGGGTAAGCACATCTTGAAAAAGACTTAAAACATTCTCACCACACTTAGCACCTGAAAGATAATAGCATTTGTCCACATTTGAATTTTCATCTTGTAATCATTTTTTAATGAAACATATCTCACTTGGAAGTTTTTGCTTGCAATTAGTTTCTGACTAGACCTTTTTTCTTTGGATAAGTAAGGTAGCATATTATTATTAAGCAGTACCAAGAAGGTACCAAGAAAGTACAAAAATTGATACTTCCAAAGTCTACTCAAAACCTGAATCCAGCGACTCCAAGAACTCATTTGTACTAACCACAAGATAGGTTTTATGCCAGCAAAAGAGATACTGTAAACATTTATACTTCACAACTATAATCTCCTCATTTCCCCCTCAAAATATCTCATATTTCTTTCTTGCCAAACCGTCAAAACAATACACAAAGAAATAAGCTTCCAGATATTCTTCACTCTTTTCTCCACTGTGCTTGCCAGCTGATGAGTGCACCTTTGAAATTTTGTGGCATTACCCAGTATTACACCCAAAATATCTTTTTTATCAAGATACCGTCTAAATATTAAGGAATAAAGACCAGATACTCCAAGAAAGATTACGATGCATCGGGAGATGACTAACAGATTCACATAGACAATCTTGGTTTGAAACCACAACTGAACACAGTTGGGAATAAATCTGTAAGTAAACCTTCATTACACCTTCTATCAGTCCAAAGCTCAACTTTCCTACCATTTTCAACTTTTTGTTTTATGCTTGTGTTTGAACTGTCCCCAGAAATTAGCTATTGGTCTCCACAAAGCAACCTCATAAGGATTACTTTACTGGTTTTGGATCCTAATATCTCTCCATGCCATAAATCGACTTAATAACAGCCTTCCATACTGCATATTTTCCATCGTTACGAAAAAAAGCAGTTGCATTTGCTCAAATAGCCTTTGGAAAGGGCATCTACAAATATGAAATCATAAAGCCCTCAACAACAATAACTACAACAACAACCCAGTAAAATCCCACAAGTGGGATCTGGGGAGGGTAGTGTGTACGCAAACCTTACCCCTACCCCGAGGGAGTAGAGAGGTTGTCTCCGATAGACCCTCGGCTCAAGAAGACGAAAAGAGACAATATATCAGTACCATCAACAGAAAATCATAGAGATAATAACAGCAATCATAAAGCCCTCATAGACACAATAACCTTAGGATCATGTTGTGGTTATAATTTAATTTTTAGATCTCCTATAGTTCTTCTCTCAATCTTTATATCTTTCTCTAGGGAAATCTCTAACCAACTTTATTATTCTTTCTCATGTTTCAGAAGGGGATATGATATTATAATGACAACAAGCCTCTCTTCAGATGTTCCTGTTGGGTACTTCTCTTGGGCGGAGTACGATATAATGGCTCCAGTGCAACCTAAAACTGAAAATACATTAGCAGCTGCTTTTATTTCTAATTGTGGTGCTCGCAACTTCCGGTTGCAGGCTCTTGAAGTCCTTGAAAGGGCAAATATCAAGATTGATTCTTTTGGCAGTTGTCATCGTAACCGGGATGGAAATGGTCAGTGTATCTCCATTATATATGATAATATATTGACGGTTCTTTTCTTGAAGTAGTTACCATTAAGGAGCTAATTGTCTAAAATGTTTCAATTTAATGGGTTTTTGAAAAGCCATGTTTACTGGTAATAGAAACCTTATATTTGTTTCCTTGGTAAATGTACACATACACATGTAAGTTTTCTAAATAGTCAGATTTTCTGCTAGTTTGAAGATTTCATTTTGTGGATTGGTTATTTTGCTGTTATGCTTGTTATCTTTTGAATACCTTCTTAGTATTTTGCAACCCATTAAATTGAGTTGAAAAGCAGACAGTTTTTGCAAATTCATTGCAAAGAAATTAGACCCTAATTTGTTAGAAAAGAAAAATTTAGAGAAAATTTAGTTTTAGTTTATTTTTCTGATGTAGAATATGCATGCATGTGGTTAAACTTTACATTATATGTAAATTTATTAGAATAGAGTTGAAACGCAGACATTTTTTGTAAATGAAACCACATGCATGCATAAAATATGTCTGCTTTGCAACTTTCTAGGATAGAGTTGAAAGCAGACATCTTTTTGTAAATTTATTGTGAAGAAGCTAGACCAGGGTTTGTTGGAAAGGGAAATTAAGAGAAAAGGCAGTCTTAATAAATGTCGTATTAGAATGCAGAATATTTTTATTCATGCCTCTTGTTTAATTGTACATTATATCCTGTGAATGCTCACTTGTCATCTTGTTCTCAATTTCATGGCAGTGGACAAAGTGGAAACTCTCAAGCACTACAAATTTAGCTTCGCTTTTGAGAATTCTAATGAGGAGGATTATGTCACTGAAAAATTCTTCCAGTCTTTAGTAGCTGGTAATAATTTTTTCCTGTTAATTTTGGTTCTGCTTTTTACACTTAGTTTTCGATGTATCTATTATTTTCTATTAGCCCCCCCCC